GGCCTTTCTCTGCCCCTTGTTATTGGACCATTACCACCAACTACTCTTTCTTTAAAAAAAAATTATTGTGGTAGACTATACATGACATAAAATTTGCCATTTTAACTATTTTGAAGCGTATGGTTCAGTGGCACTAGGTGTATTCACATTGTTGTGCAACCATCACCACCATCCATCTCCAGAACTTTTTCATCTCAGACTGTCCCCATTAAACACTAATTCCCTGTTCCCTCTGCCCCCAGCCCCTGGCAACCACGCTTCTACTTTCTGTCTCTCTGAATTTGACTCCTCTAGGGAATCTCATCTAAGTGGAATCATACAGTATCTGTATGTTGTGACTGGCTTATTTCACCCAGTATAATGTCTTCAAGGTTCACCCACAATGTAGCCTGTGTCAGAGGTTCCTTCCTTTCTAAGGCTGCATAATATTCCACTGTGTGTATAGACTGCATTTTGTTTATCCATCATCCATCGACAGACACTTGGGTTGCTTCCACTTTTGGGCTGTTATAAATAATTCGCCCATTATCATGGATGTATAAATACCTGTTTCAGTCTCTCCTTTTACCTCTTTGGGGCATGTACCCAGAACTGGAATTGCTGGATCGTATGGTAATGCTAAGTTTAATTTTTTTGAGGAACCCCCATCCTGTTTCGCACAGCAGCTGCACCATTTTCCATTCCCACCAACAGTGCACAAGAGTTCCAGTTTCTCCATATCCTCACCAGCACTTGTTACGTTCTGGTTTTTTTGGTAATAGCATTGTCATGGGTGTGAAGTGGTATCTCATTTTGCTTTTGATTTCTGTTTCCCTAATCTAGTGATGCTGAGCATCGTTTGCTGTGCTTCTTGGCCATTTGTATCTTTTCTTTACAGAAATGTCAGTTCGAGCCCTTTGCCCATGTCTGACTCAGGTTGTCTGCATTAGTTGTGGTTGCTGAGTTGTAGGAATTGTAATTATATTCTGGATAGCAGTCCCTTAGTGGAGACATGATTTGCAAATATTTTGCAGGCAGCCTTTCCACTGCACGAATAGTGTCCTCTGATGCACAGCAGTGTTTCATTGTGGTGAAGTCTAGACAGTTTTTCCTTCTGTTGCCCGTGCTGTTGGTGTCATGTCAATAGCTCATTAATAAGGGTCTGTTTTCTTCTTCCACGTGGAACCAGATATGCACAGAGCCAGGCTGTGTTTCAAAACCCCGACGTGCACACCACCAGCAGCAGCGCCTCGACCCCCGTCCTGCTGATGAGGCAGGCCGTGCTTCACCCCACCTTCCCCACGTCCCAGCCGTCGCCCCTGAAGCCCGCCCAGGCCCAGCAGCAGCCGCCGCACTTCCTGCAGGTGGGCGCGGGCCCGCGGACAGGCGGGGAGGGGGAGGGGGAGGCAGGGCCAGCCCCCGGCCCCGGCCTGACTGCGCATCTCCCCGGCCCGTAACCGGGTTCCAACCTTCGGGATCGAAATAAGCCCCAGACAGATTCGCATTTGAATCTTTCTAGTTTCTAAAGTTTCGAATGCTCCAAGTTTATAAAGTCTATGTATATATAGTGTGAGTAATGTCTCATATGGTGTGTGCTATGGAACCTGTGGCCTCAGGTTCCAACATCCAAAAACATGCAGGCTGCCTGGAGATCGCGTGCATGTGTTCGGAAAACAGCTCCCCGCAGCCTAGTCCCCACCCGCTTGGCGAGGAGGAACCCCTAGTGCAGGCCGAGAGCTGGGCTTCAGAATCACACCCACCTGGCAGAGCCTCAGCTGCTTCCCCCTGCCCCTCCACAAGGCTCTCCCCAGACCCCCGTCCCTGGTGGAGGATGGTCCTTTAATCTGCGCACACCTGCATCGGCGCCCCAGCCGTTCAGGTGAGGAGTGGCTGAAGCGCAGAACCTCCACGGGAGCCCTCTCCTTTCCCTCCAGGTGCAGGCGCCAACCTCTCTGCACAGCGAACAGCAGGACTCGCTCCTCCTCTCCACCTACTCGCAACAGCCGGGGACCCTGGGCTACCAGCCGCCCCCGCCCGCGCGCCCTCCCCGAAGGGTCGGCAGCCTGTCTGAGTCCTCAGGCCTCCAGCAGCCACCCCGGTAGTGTCAGTCGGGTCACATCAGCTTTAACCAGTGGACGGACGAGGGGGAGGTGGCCACGGGGTTGGGGAGAGGAGTTGAAAGGACAGCCTGGGCTTTTGTGCAAACCGCGTGCATTTCAGAGCTCCGAGACGGTGACCGTCTCCAAGCACAGCGGCCGGCAAGGGGGGAGTGATCAGGAGCACTGGCCGTGTCTCCCTTGGCCCTGGCTTCGCGGCCACACTCCACAGCCATACCTGGACGGGACCCGAGTGCCCCGTGGGAGCGCGTGACCCGGTTCCCCTTAGCGGTGGCACGTCTCCTGCGTCCGCCGCGAGCGCGCTGGTCCAGCCTCTGTGGCCCGTCTGTCTGCCCGTGCTCGTCGGCCTTCACTCTCTTCATCCTCTTTCCTTTGCGTTTGAGAAGCACTGGGTTAGAAGATCAGTTGAAGGGAGAGTAAAGAGAGGATTTTCCATGATTTTTAAATGATTGTTTTTGTTTTAATTTGCACAGCTGCACAAAGAGATAACTTAGGCACTTTCCATTTTTAAAACTAAGAAGGTCTCAGGACTTCATTTGGAGACCGCAGTAACGAAAACAGCTCACCAATCAGATAGCAAAGCTGGTCTGTTAACTAGGCTGCAGCCCCACCCCCTCCGACTAAACCCCAGTGGAATGAGGCTCTTCACCCCGCACCGTTCTGGTGATTTTTGCCCCCTGAATATGACACTGGACTGCTCCTGTTTACTTCGGTGATTGCAACTACAAAGGTGGACTCAGAGCAAAGCACAATCACGCAGCCGACGTTCCCGAATTCTGTTGAGGACTCAAGGACAGTAAAGGAGGGAGATTTTTTAGAGCCAGACAGGTCTGTGGATTCGGCAGGTCCCCCGAGAGCCCCCACCACGTGCTGGCCCTTTGAGTGAGAATGCTGCATCTTTCTACATATCTTTCCTGATAAGACCGAGGATTGGATTTTCCTTTTCAAAATGCACTTTGCTTCTTTTGTATGTTTTGTTATGTTGAGATGTTTCTAAAGAAAAGATTTTATGTAATTATAAGATGAAGTGTAGTGACCTGTACAGCTGTTGTAATAATGACCTATTTCTATATAAAATAAAAATTGTATGGATTATGTGTAAATTATTTTGTATCTGAGACACCCATTCTTTCCCAAATATAAAAGTACAAAAGTTTTCTTGTGTATTTCTGTGAGTGGACATTTTGTAATAAATTAACAAATTTGTACGATTTCTTCTGGAGGTAATTTCTATCCCTTGTTATATACACATGCACACAGCTTTTCATCAGTAAACTTTTTTGTTTAAATTCCAAGACGCTTCTAAGGATAATCAAAGACATGGAAAAGGTGGAGCAAGCAACCTTTTGGTGGTTTGAACTGCACCATGTACATCAGCCTGTCGGGGTTTCCTGCCAGAAAAAAACCAATGGTTCACTGTAGAAATGACAGGAAGACAAACTTACAAGGTTCCTGGAAACAGTGCCACCTTAGAGACAAAGGTAATCTGTGGCGATGACTAAGGCATTGTCCACCGAAGCATTCAGAGTCCGTGAAGGGTGAGATAAGGCAGCAGCATCTGCCACCTGCAGACATGCCCCCTCCCCATGAGGCTTTGGCACGGTGCTGTGAGGGTGCCCCGGCACACGGATTGAGCATCACTGAGACGGCCATGCTCAGAAAATTCCTTTCTGCAAGCGTTGGCTCAAGAGAATGAAGTTCCTTTCCTTGCTCCATCACTGTAGCTCAGCGCTTCTACCTGCCTCCCTGTAAAACAGGGAAGGCTCCTCTCCTCTCCATACTCTGGCCACCATCCGTTTTGGATGGCCTAAGAGGCTGTCCTAAATACATCAAAGGAGTTTTCTTTTTCACACAATTGCTATATTCCTGGGGGAAAAAAAGGTAAGTCTAACTATTTGGCATATGTTACGATCATTTACTCTTTAAAGGAAACAGAAATGAACCCTCTTTTCAAAATAAAAAGTCTGCATGAAACTGGATTAACTATTTTGTAACTTAACTCTTTTGAAAATTCAAAGGCTTATAGATCTGACTTTTCTGTAAAAAAAATTGTATTTTAATCAGCTGTCAGAACCTGCATTTCTAAGTAGAACGATTTTTTTAATGGAAACAGCATAGTTGTAGGATTTTCTAGCTGAAAGCCATTAGAAGAGGGTGGAATGTGTCATGCTGCTAATTTTAGTATTGCTTAAATCCGACACACGCTCAGAGTCTGAATAAACTCAGAAAACTCTGATTGGTAATATTTCTTTAAACCCACATAACATCAGGGGAAGTTTAATCCCCAAGCTTTTGATTCATTTAATTTTGCTCATTAAAAGACTGTTTTGCAACCCTGTTCTGTTTCCAGGAAAAACATAACCTTTCTACTTGGAAAACTATAAAGTCTTGGCTCACAAGAAGTGACTGAAATGTGAACTCTGGAATACACCAAGTTTTTGGAATATTTTAATTCGGCTAAAATGTAGTATCTTCTGTCTCTAATGGCAACTAATATCCACTAAATTAATTTAAAATTTTTGTTTTATACAGGCAACATGGTGAACTGGTCAGCTATGAGGTTATTCTAAGCCATGACATGTTGTATTCTTGCCTAGATAATCTGATGTGGGTGTTCGGTACAAAATTTTCTCTCTTTATGTGACGCCTGAAGGTTTTAAAATCAGTCATTAAGAACCTAGAGAAATAACTAATTTGGATCCTCCAGATAAATGCCATATGTGGCTTTTTTGGACACACACATATGAACTTCATACATTGTGTATATGCACCAGTATAAACTTAAGCGTATTTCTACAGAAAGCATATGATTAAGGAGCTGAAATATACAGCTTTATGGTATCTATGAATAAAGCTTTAGTTTTTCCGGGGCAGGGGTGGGGGGGGAAGCTCATTAGAAAGAAAAAAAGAAAATCTCCTTTTAGGATTTTTGCCTAAGTAGCCAGTATCCAGTTATGCACACTTAAAAGGTCCTCAATTTAATTCAGTATGTAACTCAGTTTCCTTTAAAACCATCTGTACTTCCCAATTTATTTCAGTGGAGCCGTGACCATCAACACAAACTGAAAATCTTTATCCTCCATGCTGGTAAATTCACTTCTGTCAGAGGGGATTTTGTACATGGAAAGACACAGTCACCACTAACTGTAAGTCATTTAATATCCAATTTATTAATCTTATAAATGTATCAATTAGCATTCTTTTAACCATTAGTCTGCATTTCCCTTATTAATCATCTACTATTTAAACAACAAATGAGTCACTATTTAAGAATTTATTAAAAAATTTTCCCAATGATGAAGAGATTACAAATATTTGTAAGAATTTAAAGTCTCAGTACAGAAGCTTTCTTAAAAGTTCTAAAAGGGCCCACAAAATATAATTAGAAAACTGGATTATCTTTACATCAAAACTGGCTGTAAGATGTGACTATCACAGATTTCACTTTGTTCTGTATTTTACTCCAGCTCATTCTCACACCTCCGTGTTCCAGTTTTAACATACCATCCTAGGGTTTCAGTAATTCACCAAATAAACACTTCACACCACCCTCGGTTTAAGGATCTTACCAGAACTATGCTGCCTCCAAAATAGAATGCGGTTTCTGACTGGTAGACTAAAGGTCCAGAGTTGTTAACTGGTGGATTTGGCACAGGGATCCGGGACTTGGCCACGTGGTCTGTCTACTCACACCTGACCTGCTGGCATCAGATTCCTCCCTGTTCATTTACAAGTTATGTTACACCATGTGTTGGGTAAAAGTGCTGCTTCTATTGCTACAATTGGGCCACTTTGTTATGATAAAGCTAAAAACACGCATTCCTTAAAAAAAAACTTTTTGGTTTACAGTGTTGTATTAGTTTCTGGTGTAGAGCATAGTGATTGTTACACATATATACATATTCTTTTTCATTACAAGTTAGTACAAGCCATTGAATATAGTTCCCTGTGCTACTATATAGCACAGAAAACATGTATTTCTTTAAGATCATTAAATTACACTGATTTCTTCAATAGAATACATTGTATACAGTACTTTCCTAATGTGATTTTTGTCGACTAACACTGTCTCCTAAATTATCTCATGCAGTTAGTTATCAACTGTCGATTTTAAGTTCAAAATCCTCCTCGTGCCAGACCTCTCCTCTGCCCCCGTCTTCGCCCCGAGCCCAGCACCCGCAGACCCTCAACCCTCCCCCTCGGGAGGCTCCACGGTCGGGGCAGTGACAACGCCCTGCCCGACGTGAGCGTCTCCAGCGACGCTGTCCGTCATCTCGGGACCGCAGCTGGGCGCACATGTGATGTCAGCGTTGACCGAATCAAGGAGCGGATGGAAAAAACAAGAGTATCTTCTCTCCCCGCTCCTGCTTCCGTCCACCTGGGTTCGGATTTCCTCAGACCGCAAGTCCCTCCGCCCCTCGTTCGCGCGCGGGACGCCGGGCGCCGAGAGCGCCGACAGCGCCGACGAAGCGCCGACGAAGCGCACGGCTGCTGACCGCCCAGGCCCCGCCCCCGAGGCCTCTCCCTTTTCCCCCGGCGCGCGCCAGTTACGTCACAGCCTCGCCTCTTTTCCTCTGCCCCGCCCCTTCCGCCCGCCTACAGGCGACCCGGACTTTGTAGTACTTGCGACGCTGCTTTCCTCTCCCACAATCCTTTGCACCCTTCCTTTCCAACTTGGGCCCGGCAGGGTAAGTATGGGTGCTGGCTCCCGGCTAGAGGAATCTGGCTCCATCCTCGCTGCGGGTTGTGCTAACCGGGATAGGGGGCTCCCTCCTGAGCCGGCCCGGGGCTCGACGTTCCGGGAGCACGCGAATCTGCGCTGCGTTTAAGGGCTCCGGGAGCCGGGGAGGGAGAGTGGCCAGGCTGAGGGGAGCCGGGGCTGCGGGGGTTCCGGGGTGGGGGCGGCCAAGGGGCGCGGACGCTTGGGCCTCGGAGTGGCCGTCTTGGCTTTGCCAACACCTAGAGCTTCAGCGGCCTGGCCGGACCCTTTGCCCCCGGAAGCATCCCGAGAGCGGCTGTGTGAGGCCCGGGAGGGAGGACTTACCTTGGGTTTGCCCTCTGTGCTCTGAGCGTCCGTGTCGTGTCGTTCGGTGTAGATGGCTCCCGCAAAGAAGGGTGGTGAGAAGAAGAAGGGCCGGTCCGCCATCAACGAGGTGGTGACCAGAGAATACACTATCAACATTCACAAGCGCATCCACGGAGTGTGAGTATCCCTGCGGTCGGCCTTTGCCTCCCTGGTAGCGCTCCCGAAACCGCGGGTCTGGTTGTCACTCTGAGGTCCTTCTGGTCGTCTAGAGGCTAGCCGTCTAGAAATAAGGCATTTTTTCCTCAAGAGCTCAAGTCTGTATTCCAAGGGCCCTATAGATAGGTTTACAGGGTGTCGACTGAAATGCACAGCCTAAAAGTTGAGTTACGTTGTATTTGGTGGGAGGACTCGAGCCGGGATGACAGCCTCTCAGGTCGCTCTGAGGGACTGATCAGAAGAGGTAGGGGAGGGTCTAGGATACATGGGAGCTTTACAGCAAAGACCAGGTAGTTGGAACATTAAAAGATTACTTGTTAACCAAGAAAACCCAGGCATCTCAAGTAAAAGAATTTAGCACTTTTTCTATGTATGGGAGGAAGCAAGCATTTGGGCTCATTGAATTCATTCCTTTGACAAGCACCTAGCTATCTAGGGCCAGTGTCCTGTCTTTTCTTATTCGGGGTCCCCTCTGAGTGCACCATTGTGAGTGTCTGCAAAGGCTGGGCTGCAGGCTTGTCTTCACTGGGGGATGGCGGCAGCTGCTGACAGCTTGATGGTTTCAGCATTTTTTGTTTACTTACATGGTTTGCAGTATTTTTCATTCACAAGGGTTTAAAATGTAATGCTCAGAGATTAGTGCCTAGAAACGTGAGATGGAATAATGAGGCTTCTGGGGGAGCCAGTTTCGGAAAATATGGCAAATGAGCGTGTCTTCTGGACTCTGCCTTCAGCGTCTTACTGCCCTGGTCCTGCCCGGTTCTCCTGAATGCTTCCAGGTAGCAGCTCCTGCTCCTGGTTCCCTCCTCCACCCCCGAACACCTGGTCTCTTCTCACTTCCTCCATGGGTCTCCCATCTTACTCGATTTAGAAGCCCGAGTTCCTGCTGTGCTTAAAGGTGGCTCGACCACTTACCTTTTTAATCATACAGGGCGTGTACCTGATTCAGGTAGCGGTTTGGTTTTAATTTTACTTCCCCCGCATTAGTGCTGTTCTTGTAGGTAGCTCAGCACTTCCTTGTCCCCTTTGGCTCTGAGCATCTCAGTTAACCCTGCGGCCCCTTCCCTGATGCTGTCTCTTCCCTGGCTCCTTTTTCTCTGTAGCTCTCGGTACCATCCATGTGCTCCTGTGTCACCCATGTGACCTATGTGGGAAATGGGATTTTCTCGGTTATGCCAACTGCAGTTTACTGCCTTTTCTTTCTAGATGGTTAAATAGGTGAACCAGGCACACTTGCTTGATGGGTTCCAGGAGGCTGGTGAGGGTAGAGCAGAGGGAGGCATGGTAACAGAAGGGGCAAAATGAGCTGGGCTGCGGGGTGGGGTAGAGGGTGTGGAGGCCACTGAGGGTTTTAGAGCAGGACCAACTGGTGGGCTCTGGGTGTTACTTTTATTGGATTTCACGAGGTTTGCTTCTTCTAACAAAAAGCGTGGAGCACCTGTTGTATGCCAGGCACTGTGGGCTGGGTCCACCGGTGGATTATCGGTGTGGCCCCTTCGCCCACAGAGTCTTGGGGTGGTGGGACACCTTTTTAAACTTTGGTCTCTGCTCCACTTGGAACGACTTTCACTTATCCAAATGTTTGACCATTTCAGCCTGTAGTAAGGTTGGTTTTTTTTTTTTCACATTTAGTATTTAATGCAAAGCATGAAATTCAAAGGATTTACGTATCCTCATCTTAACAGCAGGTTAATAGTACCTGACTCAGATTTGGAACAGATTTGAAGTTAGTGATATTGCCTGACACAGGCCAAAAGGGTTGTAGAATTAACAGTTCTCATCCTATTTCTTGAGAGGAAATTGGTACATTTCAGGCTCCTGCTCATTAAGCATAGACCAAGTTGATGATGAAGCTTTAAATTAATATTGAACGATTGCCAAAAACATGCCTGTGTCTTAAGATGTAGCATATAATCTTAATTCTATTTTGATCTGAGGACAGAGTATTTACTTTGGTGTTGTGTACTTTATTGTCAAGCTTATTCTAACATTGATCTTTTGATTATACTGTCCTCGGCCAATGGTATTATAGCTTGGGCGTGTTTTTGTTTTATGAAAGGGCTGGCCAGTGTGTACATTAGCAATTCTTAAGGATCATATACAGAGTCCTTGTTCTGTTACTGAAAGCAGATTGTGCATCTTCGGTGCCCCATATTGTATCAGTTGCTGTGCCTTATATATTGGTGGGAAAAGAGATTGTTACTGCCTTGGTCAGGGTTTAGTTTAGATTTGTTTTATGAAGATAGGACATACTGTGTTGTGTATTTCATTTAATTTTGTATTCATCTACTTGTGCTTGAATCTCAGGGGTTTCAAGAAGCGTGCGCCTCGGGCGCTCAAAGAAATCCGGAAATTTGCCATGAAGGAGATGGGAACTCCAGACGTGCGCATTGACACCAGGCTCAACAAAGCTGTCTGGGCCAAAGGAATAAGGTACTCAGGTTATCCGTGTTACAGTGTCACTCAGCCAGCCAGCTCACTTGGCACAGTCTATATAAGCTCAGTAGTTGGCTAATGCCCGTGGAAGTATTAACTGTGACAGTGACTCAGGGTGGGCTAGCAGCTGCAGGGTGCCCTGTGACCTGGTGTTTGAACTGAGACCCAGGATGAAGACGCCGCAGTGTGAGGGTCTGGTAAGAGCATCACACAGAACAAACTTGGGGTGACCTGGGAACAGGCTGGTGGTGGTGAAGTAGAGTGTGTGAGTGGGAAGGGAGAGCTGTGCAGGGTCCTGTAGGTGATGGCAGGAAGTTTGGGTTGACCTGTAGACTTGCAGGGAAGCTATTGGAGCGGTGGTTTCCAACCGTAGGCAATTTTACGTGCGGAGTTGTAGGGGGCATTTTTGGTTGTCACTAGTTGGGGGTGGGTACAGGCCAAAGATTCTGCTAAACACTGCAGCGCACAAGGCGCCCGCACGCAGAATTGTCCAGTAGCGCCGAGGTTGAGAAACCCAACTTGTGAGCAGCCAGTGTGGAAGTGGGGACCAATTAAAGGGGGTGGCACTGGCGGGGGCTAGGCGATGTGAGGGGTAGGAGGCTGTCTGCATCTGGGTGGCATTTTAATATTGGAGTTAGGTGGGGTGACAGGAACCTGAGATTTGACCCTGCAGTGGGCGGGTATGTAGGGCAGACATGTCTAACAGAGCTGCAGGTGAGATAGGGGAGGAGTGGTGTCGCATGAGTTGGGAGAAGTTTCGGGGCACCCCTGTCCTCGGATCATGCAAGGAGAAGCAGCCAGCTATAGTGCTGCTGAGGGGTCGGGGGAGCTAGGAGGAGGCCTGTGTGCACCAGGTGGGGAACTGGAACATTTAACACGTTCCGCGTAGCCTGCAGTTTCTGGTGTTGCTCCAAATTTAAATTTAACGGACAAATCCCATAAGCAAGACTTGCAGGTTGATGATGGAAGGAGGAGATTGCGCGTGCTGTGCCTACATTTCTGCAGAGGTTGCATGTCCTTGGGGCTGCCTGCTGAGACAGGTGCATCCTGAGACGGCAGCACTGACTGTCCACCTGGGCGTGTGCTTATTTTCCAGGGACTGATACATACTTGAAGTGGCTGGTTGGTCAGATTAGAACAAAGGGAAGAGTAGGAAGTGGGTTCCAGGCGTAGGGGCAGGGTGTGTGGGCACAGCTGGTGACGCTTTTCTGTCTTTCAGGAACGTCCCATACCGTATCCGTGTGCGATTGTCCAGAAAACGGAATGAAGATGAAGATTCACCAAACAAGCTCTATACATTGGTTACCTATGTACCTGTCACCACGTTCAAAAGTAAGTTTTACTTCATCCCACAAAGCTGTTTAGATCAGAAAAACATCTTTAGCCCTTTTATAACCTGAATCCATCTGTTCAACAAATACTGTGCACCCATAAGCCTGGCATCTTTCCAGCGGGGGCGTGAGTAACAGGCGTAATCAGTAAGCCCTCTGTGGGTTGTGCCGCGGCCGGGGGTAGGGGGGCACACCGGCTCCACGTCTGGGTGTGAAAGGGTGGACTTGGACATGGAAATTGACTGGGTGTCACTTCTCTTGCAGATCTACAGACAGTTAATGTGGATGAGAACTAACTGCTGAGTGTCATAAATAAAGCTCTAGAACCACCTTTGCACCTTGATTGTCCTTTTCTAGTTAGTATGTCTTAAAGTAGTTCCCAAATCCTAAATACCGTGCCCCTTTTCTGCAGCCCCTGAAGTTTTGTGTGCATGTTTTGTTAGTCCTAAGGTAAGTTCTATATGTAAGTTTACAGAAAATAGTTTAATTGCCATTTTTGATATTTAGTTAACAAACCTATAGTCGGTAGTGTGTCCTGACGCTTCTGCCTCTATCTGTGTGGAGTGTACTTGTCAGAGGGTATAGGACAGTCATGTAAAATAACGGGCTTTTGCTGGGGTAACCAGGTTATGCTTGTAACTTCTGTACTGTACTGTTCAGCTCACTTACTTGTGGCCCAGTGAGGTAGCTTTAGTCCTGGTTTACATGGAGCTAAAAGCTCAGGGGTAACCCTTCTTAAAGGTCACTAACAAAATCTGCTGAATTCAGTTCCCGCCTGAACGCACAGGTTTCATCAGTGTTCACACCCCTGGCGTGAATGAAGAGACATAAAGCGGTCCCTTTTTGAAGCCCCGTTGATGGCGGTAGTGTGCTCTTCGCCCAGAACATGGGGTGGGGGGGTACGGCTCCAGCTTATCCAGTCACTGGCACAGTCCAGACCTTAGACAACGGAAGTAAGATATAAACAGACCAAGTCAATACAAAAATTTCTTATTAAAAAACTCAGGCCAACATTGAAAGCATGGTTTGTGTACACATTTTTGGAAGGACACAAAGTGAATACAACCAAATATATTAAAATGGTTTCAATTACCAGCATTGAAACGAAATTAGTGCAAAAAAAGCCAAATACAATTGCACAGATAGTGGCTCTTAAATCTTGAAAGTGAACTTGATTCTTGATCCCTCCCATTCAAGTGAAAACTGAGAGCTTGGGCTGGTCTCTGGGTCTGTATCATACATCTGACTTTCTTGTATTCCATCCGAGAACAAAACCATACCAGCGTCACAGCAGAAGTACCCATTTCAGCAAATCTGACTGCAAGTCGCGGCATCGAGGGAAGCGATGTTGGGCGCCCTCTAGCGCTGACAGTACCCAACTGCACTCGGAAGCGCTGGAGGGTTGCATCACTTACCTGGCCGCAGTTGTGCCGGCGGGTTGCTTACCCGAACACCCAGCTTGTAAAGTGTACTCAATGAATTAGACAAATCTGGATTTATGGGCTGACGACCCACGAACCTGGTCTGTGCTTTGGTGTGGGGCACACTGCCATCCGGCTACAGATCGCTCAGCTTGAGTTCGGGCTGTGATTGGCGGCTCATTTCAATGGTTTTGAGGCTGTACTGATTGATCTTGGCATTTTCAAGTTTGGATTTAATGTCCAGTGGCTTTTCAAAAAAGTTCACTAACGACTGTTCAGTCAGAAGTGAAGCTAAAATATGTTCAAGGGAGACAGTCCAGCCCCCTTGGGCCTCTTCAGGAAATGCGGGGGGCTCCTGGGGACCCTTCCCTGTGTCAGCGTCAGCGAAAACCGAGTCCTGCTCAGGAGAAGGAGCCGAAGCCTGCAGCTCCTCCCCACCTTCCTGGGAGCAGCTTCCAGAGCTGCTGCCCCGCTGCCCCACCTCCCCGATCTGCAGCAGCAAAGTGGTCACTGTGGCGATGGCTTGATACAGGTCATTTTCTTCTGGGTCTTCGTGGAACATACTGTACAAAGTTTTACAGAACTGGATAAATTCTCTCTGGAAATCGAGAAAAAAAGTACATATTATAGCAGCATAGTAAGAATAGAAGCATAATTTTTTTTTAACTTTGTACTTAGTTCTCGGGAAAAAACATAGTGGGAGCAGAACACGAGGTATTCTCTACCCTTCCACTCTGAAGACACTGTTCACAGTGGCTCCAGGGGATTTCAGCACACGTGGAGAAGAGTGCTCTTTGTCTACACAGTGGCCACTAAGAAACGTTACACCCTTTAACCCAGCAAGATAGCTTGCCAAAATGCATTCAAAAGCTCTGCAGAGATTTGTTTATACGGATGTTTATAGGCTGGGGTTTATTATAGAAGGTTGGAAACAGCTCAAAATATTAGGGTTGAATAAAAATTATGATTTGACCATCCGTTGGGAATGCCATGCAGCACCTAAAGGCCATAAAAGGAAGTAAAATGGTGATGCCTGATGCTTTTCAAACTACAAACATGCTCCTGCCCCACCTGAGAATTGTTGTGTGATAGAGACGCTTCAGGTGGGACGTAGCCACACAGTTCCTCTAGGAAGATGAGATGGTTGGCTGGAGGCATTCCCACTGGTTGTTAAATGAGGTGTGATTACCATACAACGCTGAGATTTAACTGACTTTATGTGCAAAAAGTAGAATATTTGAAAGCATCTCCGTAACAGAGTGGAGCAACACTCCTCAAATAGGCCAAGAAATAAGAATCCCACAGATGTTCTGTGGTCAAAAAAGAGTGCTAAACCCCACTCCTGAAGGCTCACAGCACACCTGAGCACCACAGGGGTTTCAGTTCTGTAATAAAGGGAAGTTTTCAACTTGAAGCCTTACCAGTACAGTGCATTATGTAGTCTGATTTTCAGGAAACTGGAGAAAGCACATTAATATTTTTTTATGTGAAGAACGCTGTAACCACAGTGCCAGCAAATGGCTTCTGTTGCTCTAAGGAATGAATCTGCATCACAACGTGGGTGAATTTGATGTAAAAACTTTTCAAAGACAGGAAATGTGTGGTAGCCACCTGTTCTGTAGAGCTTTGAATATTTGGAATATCTGAACTGGTCACAATTTAAATAGTTCTTATTTAATTGTCACAATGTTTAGTTCCCAGAAGTTAGAAGATCCTTTGATTATAGCTTTGAAATAAAGGGGAACACAGCTTAATTAAAAAGTTTACCTCTTAAATAATGTGGCAAAACAGTTAATTTTCTGTGAAGAATAAAGTCCATACCTGGCTCATTTTAGGCAACTCCTTCTCAGTTTTGTCTTTTTCTTTGGCTAAATCTTTAATCATCTGCTTTAGCTGTTTCTGATAATCAATTGTATCACCTTGAGACAAAGGAAACAACATACTTTAGTCTGAATAAATTCCATGAAAGCAACAAGGGAAAGGGGTGGTGAGGGGATGAGTTCCTACCAACTGAGAGGCAGAGGTTAATTGGAGAGATGGTCTGTTTTACAAAAAAATGTGGCCACAGGTTATGGTAGCTGAGTGACCTTGACACAAGAGGACCCCTGAAACATGAAAAGGGGTACACGTGGTGGCAGGGGTGAGGGGCAGTCATCCAGCACACTGCAGCCTGGACGGTTTCTGGCCTCTGTGTTAACTCACAGGAGGGAGGGGACAATTAGTCTGCTTGTAAGAAGAGGCGTGGGGTCCACTGCAGTGGTGTGCCTGATGGAAGAGAATGCAAAGAGGTACGTGCCATTGGACTTCCCGAGAACCAGGGGTCTTGACGTTGACAACAGAGGATTCTTCAATGGTGACTGGCTGTCTCGGTCATTTTCAGTGAGTGCTTTAAAAAAAAAAAAAAGTTAACATTGAACAAAGTGTTGTGTCTTAACCAAAACTGACAGTAATTCAGCTTTCTAGGTAAGAATGAAAGGTTAAGCCAGCAGCTCCCAGCCTGCAGGGCCTTCCCAGGGTCAACAAACTCCATGTACACCAAGCACTGGATACACAAAGCACTGGATACACAAAGTCAAGAAAGCATCTAACACCAGTAATGTTTTTCTGAACATCTGTCGGTGCCGTTGTAATCAGTGATCAGCAAGTTCATAGGATACACTGGATCAACAAGATACATAGGATACAAGTTCATTGCTGATACTGACCTAGAAAAATACGTACAGTAAAGTCCCATTTTGTCAAAACAAATATATGCGTGTGTATACATACATCAATTCTAGAAGTAAATACACTTGGGTTGCTGGGTAATGTTATAATAGGCAAATGCTTTGAGTTTCTCATATTTTTCTATTATTAGCTCATACTGCTATGTTTAGGTACTTTCTAACAAAAATTGAAAAAAGCTTTACTGAATTCAAGGCAGGGTGCTATAATGAGTTCTAGAAATACACAAAAATGAAATTATATTGGAACCCTCAAACACTGCTAATGGGAGTATAAAATGGCACAGCCATCTTGGAGATGGTTCCTGGTCGTTCCTTGAAAAGTTAAATAATAAATTTGCCATTTTTACCCAGAAATTCACTCCTAGGTGTATACCAAAAGGAAATGAAAACACGTATCCACTCGAAAACTTGTGCACAAGTGTTCGTAGCACCATTTGTTCCCAAAAGGTGCAAATAAACCCAAATGTTCATCAACTGGTGAATAAACAGATTAGACATGCCCATCGGAGTACCAAGTTCAGCAGTAAAAGTGAGCGCTGACAGATGCCACAGCATGGGTGGACCCAGAAAACATCCTAGTGACAGCAGCCAGACACAAAAGGGCACACATACTGCACGACTCATTTATGTGAAAAGTCCAGAAGAGGCAAAACCTACAAAGAGAAAAAGGGAAATGTGTGGTTTGGGGACAACAGCTAAGGAGCACCGGCTTGCTTTTTGGTGTGATGAAAATGCTCTACAGCTGTGATTGGTGGTTGCGTAACTGAATATACTAAAACCCACTGGCCTGTGTATTTCAAGTGAATGAATTGTACACTATCTAAGTTACAGACTGATAAAAGCTGCTACCGAAAAAGGGGTGGGGGCTATTACAAAGGATCCTCACAGGTTTAAAAAGGTTTAAACAATAGTAAGCCATTCACAGACTAAATGTTCAGTTGTGATCCAGCAAATGTCCACGAGATGGCACCAAAGCCTTGGTGAACCACCCTCCTCCCTACTTGGGAGGCAGGTTTCTGGGGTTTAGGGGGTGGAGGGGTTGTTTACGGTTGTTCTTGTTTTTCTGGGGTTTTTTTCCTGTAATAAAACTATTGAGTCATTTTTTTCCCCCTACTTTGTCCAAAACAAGTTCTATGCAGTGGTACACGTGAGAATCCACTCAAACTGAATAGAAGGAAAATTACAAACCGATGACACTTGAGGCAGTTATGGAAATGGCTTCCTGCCCTCCAAGAGCTCAGCGTATCAAACAGGAAAAAAGTGCACAAGTCACAAAGAAAGTGACCTGACAGAAGAACCAATACACACAAATGTCATGGAGCACAGAGGAACAATTCATTCAGGAGGTGGGCGAGTGTCCAGAAAGGAGGCACGTGAGGTGTCAACAGCGACGAGCCGGAAAGGCCAGTCCATCTCAGAGCAGTGCTTCCCACCCACCTCCAGTCCTGGCACAGAGAAAACACCAGCACCTGACTGGACACGAGGGAACCCTGGGGGAGCCTTGGAGCTCCCTGAGAACAACTCATCCTGTTACCTATTCCTATCCGACGTCGGACACAGTGCATTAGGAAAAACAGTAAACACCCAGTACATCATCCTTAAATGTACTTTCAGCCTTTTAAAATGAGATATTTGAGCTTTCATAAATGTTACCTTATTTTTTACGTTCTGATATATGTGTAACTCATAATACAAGAGACGTTTCTGTTAAAGCTTTCACTGTCTCTCAGTTCAAGTACTGCACAAGTTGTATCTGATGAAGGATTTGCATCTGGTTATCTGAAGGTCCCTATCTCAGATTTTTATGTGACGGGTGGTTAAGTGCACTGCTTCACAGACACCACCAGCACGAAAGTCTCTCTGTGGCTTCAAGGACTTTCATTAGGTGGTGTGCATACTTCTCACTTTGTATCCCTGTCACCACCACTGCTACCTTCATCACTTACTAAATGGGATGCTTGCAAAGGAAGAAAGCCAGTTCCACTGGAAAAGTTGCTTATCTCTGGCAAAACAGTACCTTTACTGCTTTCAACAAAATTTGGCCTTCAGGTGCAGTTAACACATCAGTCATCAAAATAATACCATTTCTCATCATATTTTCTTCTTGGAAAAAGCAATACGGCACCCCTCTTCTACCCCGTCCATGCTAACTAAAAACAGCAAATTATAACAGCAAGGGCCTGGAATCGGATTAATTAGGAATTCCAATATATCCAAGTCACTGAGAGGAAAATCAACTAAAGTATTCAACTTGTGTCTGACATCTACTATGAGAAAATAACTTAAGATGTGACAAATACTGGACACCGGGATCCTAAATCCAATCATGACTTCCTGACAATCTGGATGATACTAAGGGTCTTAAGTACCCAGCTTTTCTCTTTTAAAAAGTTCACTGCAATCTTTTAATTTCACAAAAGTGTTTTAGGAAGTTTATATTCTACACTTCTCCCATTTTTCAAAACCCTCAAGTGGCACTTTCAACTCAGAATCCCAATGCAAAGAACAGACCTTTCGTGACCAAATCCAATGTGCCTGGTATCATTTCTGAAGCAGTTGGCATCAGTACTGCCTAAGTTCTTAGAACGTGAACTCCACTTTGTGTGTCCTGGGAGAAGTCGGCCTTTGCAGGTTTCCTCGGTACAGCATCCGTTTTCAGAATCACTGTCTCCTCCAGCTGAGCCTCCAGACTGACTGGCCCCATTCTCAGTCCTGGCTGGAGTCATCATTTCGCTCCTCTTTTCACTTCACTGGACGAGACTTCTTCACGTGCGCCATTTGGGCCTTGCCTAATAATCTGCTCCTCAGAGCAGTGTAGCGATCCTTCAGTTTCCTGGATTCCAGTAGGCATTCTGACATACTGGCACATTCTCAAAAGCAGGAGACTGTAGTTTATCTTCAGTATTGTTTCTTAGTGTAAGAAAAGGCCAGCTCAAAAGTGAAGAACCTGATGATGGATAGAACCTGAGTGCCCACATTTCTCTTAGGCAAACTAGCTGTCACACACCCCGTTATCCCTGGTCCTGTTGGTACTAATTTCAAACACACGATATCCCATTCCGTAATACTGCTAAGGTTTTCATCCGTAGTGACTACTCCGGAAAATCTATGATTTTATCTGTCAGTACTTAACATCTTATCTGCAGCTACTCTTGACAAAGCAGACAACATCATGCAAAGTTCTGGTATATTTCCAGTTGTACTGCAGAGGTTTAGAAAGTGGAGCCATTCTAAGTAAATGGACTTAAACTTCCAGGATACCGTCTTTCATCATGGGAATAGAAAATAGATTTTTGTCAAACAACAGATCAAATGGTACTGAACTCTTAGCACACTCCAGACTTTTTAATATTAGTTTTTATACTAATATTAATATTGAAATGGCTACATGCAATTCCTGATTGGGACTTTTAAATAATAACCTCTTCAAAACAGACTATCACCATCAGCGAGAAACCAAGAAGGTGGAAGCAAATAGCATTTTTCTCTCCTGGCTGGAGGACTCATTTCTTCTCATTACCGAGAATTTGAATCGTTCAGATATTTTTGTTTCAAGTGTACGATGATTCTGCATATCAAACAGCTTCTCCCAAAATGGAATGTTGACATCGTTTTGGCAAATATGACTGAATTTTGAATCCAATCAACATTTTTTCATATCAAGTATTTCAAAATAACACTTCTCATTTATACACAGACATGGCTGTATTAGACTATAATCATGTTTCAGGATTCAAATTATAACACTGGCTAAACATCACTAATGAAGTTTTCATAACCTCATTTTCTTCTAAGTTGAATGTTTGCTTTGAATCCGTACTTCTCCAGTACATGTTAATGTTTTCATGTGCTCTTTCAATTTTCCATTAAGTTCATTCAGGTTTTCAACATTTTAAGTCCTTTTAAAAATAACTATCTTTAACCAAACTGCAAATTGGAATTACTCATAAGATTTTTCCTTTTAATTCACTCTTCCTTTGGACAGCAAATGCACTGTGGCACGTATACGATCTCCGAAAGAAATCTCTTCTTTATGGAGAGCTGCCCACAAAGAAGAGAGCAGCTCGAATTTAATTGGTTTCAGCATTTTAAGACCATCATTTAATGTGGATACCAGCAGGAACCTTTTGGGGAGCTACTCTGCACCTACAACTGTGTATTCCCTGGACGCCAGGGCTTCCAAGAGGAGCAGAACCCAGGCTGTCAGCTCCACTCTTCTGCACCCTCTTACAGGAAGCCGCCTACATCCCAGTTGTTTGCGTTCATTTACTAACTCCGATATGTCACTCTCAGTAGCTTGCTTTGATCCTTCCTTCTAACGAATCTAATGTTCTTCCAGGAAATTGTCTTCTGGCAGTCCAGTTAGTGCAATCAACTGAGTAAGATGACCAATATCTACAGATTTATCGATTTGCAATGGAAAGTCCTGATTCAGTAATCTTCTGGAATACTGTGCCTCCCTGCATCACCTGATAGGGGTATCAGATCATCTGGAATCGCTCTTATCTGTTTCTTCTGCGAAACTGTTGCAGTCACCATGGAGCCAGCCAGTGAAGGGAGCTCTGCCAGAACTGTGAGGTGGGGCTCAGGGCTTCCTTGCTTCCCCAGCTGCATCCTCGGCCTCCCGTCTGATGCCCGCCGAGCTCCGGGGCTTCCGCACAAGGCGGGTGTTTGAGGCCAGTCGCTGACGGGCTTCGTTTGGCTGTCCAGCTCCCATCAGGCAAGTGAGACATCACTGTTCGGGCACACACATTCAACCTTGTCATCTTCAACTAGTGAGTTAAACTTCTTTTCCGACTCGTGTGGAAAGTAAATATCTATTAAAATTCAACCTATTTAAATGAAAAACACCTACATATAGTGTGGATCCTCATGGCCCTGGCAAACTGCTGCATTGAAAGAAAGGTTTTAGGTTGTCTTCATTCTTAAGACTTTTCTTTAACTGCATCAAAAATTCAAATATTAAATATAGGGAAGCAAATTAATCTATCAAATCTTAATCTCTACTTAAGTTTAACCAAATTCAGTCACATGATATAAGCATTACAATCACATATGTTCAAAAGGTTTTTTAACACTTGATTTTCTGAAGACATTAAGATTTCAAATGCCTTTAATGAACTAAAATAATTAAAATGTCTTTTAGAAATAAAGTTGTAATTTGGAAACATAATTCAGTATGAAGTTAGATCGAGAACCGCATATCAATCTCAAATGACAAAAAAAAATCAATGTAAAGACATATCAAGAATGAGAACTCTACCTGTACTATCTTTGCAACTTTATAAATCTAAAATTATCCCACAATAAAAAGTTTATTTAAAAATCAATATAAAACAAGTGAGCAAAATAGCAAACCCCATTGTATTCCGCAGTACCAGACCTAGACAGTGATGACCATAAAAGGCAGTAAGGATGACGACGATGATAAAGGAATAATTATGCATGTTTCATGTTAACAGAATATCTGAAAAATAAGGGCAAAGTAAATGAAAAACAAAACTCAGTAAAAGGCAAAGAACTTCACTGATGCTGAACGATTTGCACTCAAGTAACGAGTCCACAAGAAAGCACTCATCTTGTGCGCAGCTGCGAGAGATGCTCCCGTATGCATCACGGGCAGAACACATGCCAGTTCAGTCACAGCTGAACTCAGGAAGTGCAGCAGAAGCCCACAGACAACGCCCACGTGCATTTTCAACTTCTGTATAGGTATTCGTTGTAAAAGCCACCAGGATCTCATAGCCCTGGAAACCTCACAGCCCGCCAGCCTCCCCAGGCTCCCCGGTTAGAAAGTTGTGTCGCAGAACCCATGCCACACCAGGACCATGGCACTGGGGTCCAGAGACCCTCTGGGACTCCTCGGTGGGCCTCCACCAGTTTCAAAGATCCAAGACATGTCTTAAGGTAAACACCAAGTCTGATCTCACAGCTTTCACAACTGCTTTCCCCTGGTTACCGCTGCTCACATTTGAAGGAAGCATGGTCTTGCATGCTGGGAAAGTGAAATGTCCCTTCAAAAACAGTAGCAGCGGCTGCCAAGGAGCCAGAAACTGGACCACGGCAGCACAAAGCCAGGGCCGGAGCTCAGACTTCCTCAGATAGGGGGGCGGTCCAGGATGGCAGCGTTCCTGAACCCACCTCCTCCCACCGACACACACATCTACAGCTACATACAGAACAATTTCTGCTGAAAAAGAATGGACAACTAGCTGAGCAGCTCCTCTGCAACGAGAGAGACAAGGACCGCATCCAGTTGGTAGGAGAGGCAGGGACAGTCTCTCCCAGTCCCCACCCCCCGCCTGGGGACCCACAGCAGGGAGGGTCTCACAGGTCCAGAGCTTCTCCCTGAGGAGCGAGAGGTCTGGCCTCACATCAGGTGCCCCACCCTTGGAATCAGCATTGGAGAGACGAGACCCCCAAAATGTCTGGCTTCGGAAACCAAAGGGGCTCATGTACAGGCAACCCGGGGGCTGGGGGGACCAGAGATGCTCCTTTGAGAGTCTCACTTGTCCCAGGACCCAGCGCAAAGGCAGCAGTTGGAGAAGTGCCTGGACTGTGTGTGGAGGAGACAACTGCTAATGTTAATTAAAGCATCTGCCGGAAGGGCAGGGGCAGCTGAGACTTCCTTCCGGGAACAAAGCACCATTTCCCACTCTCCTATGCCTCGCTAGTGCAGGTGGGCACACAGGCACACGTCTCGCTCAAGTCACAGGTGCGTCCCGCCCCCAGGGCTCCCCCCTGCGTCACTACAGCTGCAGGTGTGCCCTGCCCTCAGCCGCCTCTCCTGCAGCCTCTAAAACACAAAATAAATGAACAAAACCCCCAAGACGCATTGAGACAGAGAACAGACTGTTGGTTTCTAGAGGGGAAATGGGCTGGGGGCATTGGCAAAATAGGTGAAGGGGGTCAATTTTATGGTGACAAATGGTAACTCAGTTTACCATGGTCATCGCTTTGTAGTGTATACAAAGACTGAACTATGTTTTACCCCTGAAACTACTATATTATATACCAGTTTTACCTCAATTTAAAAAACACAACATTAGGCTAAAATAACCATCTTAATTATTAAGGGTTTGTCTACCCCCCCACATTCCAGAGGCCAGTGGTTCTCAAAGTGTGGTCCTCAGACCTAGTGAATCAGAAACGGTGGGGTGGGCCCGGTAACCTGCATTTCAACAAGCCATCCGGATGATTCTGACGCACACTGAAGGCTGGGAACCCCTGCCACAGGCCACACAACGTGCTACTTAGAATCTGTCATCAGCCACCCCAAACTGGAAACATCTATTGCCTCAAGTCTAAATAAATATAAAAAGAGAAGAACTTCAGTGTTGTGCACAAAGCTGATTTACGTCAAGGCAGAGCAGAGCCTCGCTTTTCTGTTGGAATTTCTTACCTGGAGGGATGTGAAGCCTATATAACAGTTTGATTTTCTCATTCATTTCTCCATTGTACATAATATCTGCAAAATGGAAAAAAAGAAAGCAGGACTGAGTAGACGCACATGGTTAAGGTACACGCGTCACGACACAGTCACCGCTGAGAGAAGGAAGTGACGAGGCCAGTGCTTGTTCACCTGCCGCCGCCCCAGACACACGGCGTTTGAAAGGAAAACGTGAACGGTGGTGACTGCTGACGGCTGAGCTACGGGATAACCTGGCCTCACACCTTCTGCAAGATTGTAATTTTAGGTGCAAGAGTTAGGAACGTGTCTCGGACAAGCCACTGCCACACCCTGGACGCCGGGAGAACAAGGCTGATGACCCTGTATGCCAAGAGCCCCCTTGGGAAGCATAAACGTTTAGCTCACAAGGAGCCTGCAGAGTGACTTTAAAATCACAAAATCGCACCAGGCCAGTCGCGGACACATTTCACTGAGTGGATCTGCCTGCGTCACGACCCACTTGTCTTGTGTTCACAGACTCCCATCCCCAAAGAACTCATGGCAGCCAAGGCCCGCAGAGTCATACCGAGACAGCTCACAAAGGCTTTGAACTCAATAAGATGGTCCATGTTGTCGTCCAGGAGCCTGAAAGTCCTCTCGGCGAGGATGTCTGTGTGGGCCCCACAGGTCCACGGCGAGACGAGCTGGAACAGGCGTGCGAACTGCCGGGCGTCTATGCGGTACTGCTCCGCGTAGGGCCGGCTGGGGTCGTGGCGCGGGGCCACCGGCCTGGGCTGCTCCCAGTAGCAGCTCATCATGTGTTCTCTCTAACGCGGGAGGGAGAGGGGCTGTGAGGGCCGGCGGCACCCGGGGGAGGCCACGAGCTTACAGCCAAAGCCAACATGGCCTTCTTGCTTGCTCTGCCCTCATAAAATCATTACATATTAAAGCAGCAACATTATTACACAAAAATGAAAAAATTAACTCAGTCTCACCACTCCAACCAGACATACTGAAAGTTTTTCTTTGTTTCCCTGTAGTCCTTGCCCTCATGAATATGTAATTGCGATGTTTTTAAAATCAAGGATTCTCTTTTTGTCATTGTAGCAAAATACACATTAAAAATTTACCATTTTAACCATTTTTAAAGGTACAGCTCAGCTGCCATAGGTTTATAGAAGTCATACAGTTTTTATTCTGAGAGTTTCTCTTAAATTCATACTGTTTGAAAGTCAAAAAGTACTAGTTAAATCTACAGGATACAGAAGGAACCAGTTAACCCTGGCTACCTGAGAGGATGGAAAATGGGGGCCGGGACCCAGATGAGGAAGCAGGCCTTTTTTATTGCGGGCTTTTTTCATATGTTTTGGATATATTATTAACAATTCAAAACACTGAAAGTAAACAAACAAAGGCAATTTGAAGTCTTGGGAACAGACTGAAAACTAAAGCAATCAAAACCGGCACTGAGGACCAGGCTAGCCTCCTTAGGCTAGATCTTTCAGTCTTGTACTAAATCACCTCTTGGCACATCTCAGCTCACTGCAATGGCTCCGAGTGATGCAGGGCTCTTCACAATTTCAGTGCCCTCTGCCCATAAGAATGGCACAGACACAATGCAGATGCTGCAAAATGCAAGTGCCTATCCTTGGATGGAAACCAAAATGCCATTTATAATTTTACTGCATATTATACACGGCCATGTTCTTTAAATAGCCCTTGCAGAATCATGAAAAGTACCACAAGAACTTTTAAGGGTGAAACAAAGGTCTAATAAATTCCCATTCCTCAAAACCTGAGACACACTGTGAATTTCCATGTATATTTGTACATCCTGGGAAGCGAGAGGCCCTTAGGATCCTGCCCAGAAGAAAACAGTTATAAAGTCCAAGAACTAACACACCCAGTTTACACAGAATCCGACAGAAAAACAGACCAGTGTAAAAAAGAGGCAAAGGACATGAAGAGGTGATACAAGGAAATACACAATTAGCCAGTAAACTCACAACAGGGTACTCAACCTCTCTAATGAGGAAACGAATTTAAGTTAAAATGAAATACAATTTCCTACAAGACTAGCAAAAATTTTAAAGATCCATAATATGAAATGCTGGGTGAGTGTGGAATACAGGACACAAACACTCTTAGACATCATCAGTGGAAATGAAATCTGAAAAGTCTAAAACACGTTAGCAATAGTGACTGAAATCTGGTTCCTACACAGCAGCCCAGGTGTCCAGATAAAGGCCCAAGGATGCTCAGGACAGCACCGTTTATAAAGCAGCAAAAAGAATCGGAAACAAGATAAACGTCCCTCAAGAGGTAAATAATTTAAAAATTATGGTTCAGCCCTACAATCAAACTGTGCAGCCACTAAAAAAGAGTGAGAAAAGTCTGCAGACATTCAGTCTAGAAAAACGTCCATGACAACAATTTCAGGCCATTACGCATAGCACAGCCTCACTCTTATTGTGGAAAAAAAGAGTAAGAGCATGTTGCACGTGTGTGTGCACAGAGAGACATCGTGTAAGAGGAAAAATCAGGAGAGATACTCCCCATATTGTTAACAGTAACTACTTCACAAGGTGGGACTGTAGGTGCAGACAAGATAAGGCCCTTTCAATTTTACTTCTAAGTTATTTTTTAAGGGTGCAAATAGGTATAATTTTATATTTGTTTTGTTTCGTGTTTTTTAATTAAATTTCAAAAATAAAAGTCTTAACCAGAGCATGGAAGCAAGCAAAGTAATATTAAAAGAAACCAAATGCTTTCTAGGGCCTGATAATCCAACAGTGGTGAATGCGTTTAGCTGATCATTAACAAGAACGCACTTATGGGGTCTGTAAGACCCTGTTTCAGGTCCTGGGTTTTTCAGGTGTCTCTAGCAATAGCCTCTGGCACCAAGGATGTATCATATTGTTCCCGTCTTACTTGGAGAGGTGGCATCAATGAAGCTGTTTCCAATTTGGGAGAATAAGGGACAGACGTCACAAATCTCATCTATGTAATTTAAAAGATTGCTTTATAACCAGGACGGACCTTGAGGGCACTGTGCTAAGTGAAAGAAGTCGGTCAGAGAAAGAAAAACCTAATACGATCTCACTTACATGTGGAACCTAAAAAAATAATAGCAAACCAACCAACCTAAGGCCGTAGAAAAAGAGATCAGATTTGTGGTTACCAGAGGCTGGAGGTGGGGGTGGTTTGTAGAATTGGATGAAGGTGGTCAGAAGGTACAAACTCCCAGTTACAAAATAAAGAAGTACTGGGGTGCTAGGTACAACACGACCAGAGTTAGTGAACACTGCTGTGTGGTCTGTTTGAAAGCTCCTAAAAAAGCAGATCCTAAATTAAGTGCTCATCCCAAGGAAAAAACCATCCCCCGCCCCTGCTTTTTTTTGGTATCTCTGTGACATAAGGGATGTTAACTAAACTTGCTGTGGATGGTTTTGCAGTAAATGTAAGTGAAGTCATTACGCTGTACACCTTCAACTTAGTGCTGAAGATCAGTTATATCTCAATAAAGCTGATGGAAGATTGCTTTAAATTAACAATCACATCGACTTCACTAAGTACACAATGTTCACCTCTCATAGGAAGAAATATGTAAAGAAGACAGTCAGAGCCGACTTCTCTTGTTCTCACAGAGGAGGGTCATGCCGCTGCAGTCCCCGCTTAGGGAAGGATGCAGTGATGCTAAGGAACGGACTCCTTATTAAGAACCTATCACACAGTTATAAAACAGCATAAAGGCATCTCTCTGTGGCCCTTTCCCTTGAGAAAATGAACTTCTGATTCAAAAGACAAGAGGTGCGTGCAGAACCCAATGCGGGAAGACGGCAGCCCACGGTACACAAGCTTTCCAACATACGAGGTCAGGCTGCGAGAGCCAAGCAAAGTCAGAGAAGGTCTGGAGCGTGCGGGAGGGAGGGCAGTCCGAGGGGCCGTCCTGTGGGACGTGAGGGTGACTCGGGGCGTAGAGGAGGCGCCCCGGGTTGTACGATGGAACTAGACACCGTGACTGCAGTGCTCTCTTACTGGAATTTTCTTTGGAAGTATACTTCAAAAGCTGCCTTGTATTTATAGTTTAAGTTTGTGTTTGTAGTTAGCCCTACACAAAGGAAAGGCTAACTACAAATGTGAGAATCACTCTCACTCACATCACTCACTGGACAGAAACAGGAAACAGGAAATAGCTCTGGCGGTCTTCTTTAAATGCTCTCTGCGTGAAAGATTAACGAGAGGGTCAGTGCTTAATGAAGTTTATTTTTATTATTAACTTGTTGTATAAATTCAGATCTGTGACGTATCTCTTTCTCTCAAATTGAGAACAGCCAGCCCTCAGGAGGTGACAGCCTTTCTGTGCCGAGCAGCACAGCTGTTTAACCTGCTTCCGTGTTTCTAGCTCTCCCTGTTTTTCCTCACGGAAAGTCAGAGAGGTAGCGGCGTGGGACCCCAAGTCACCTTTGACTTTGTATTTTCTCTCCATGCGGCAGAGGAAACTATAAAACTTGAAAACAGGTGACGTTTACAGCAGGCACGGCCTGAGGAACCCTCCCCTCGCATCCTGCTTGTTAGGAGTGAGGAGTGCCTGGGATCGACTAAGCCAGGGACCCACGTCAGTGACCACGGGGGGAGGGACCACGCCGCCACACGAAGGGTTCGGACAACATCTGAGGCTCCGCGCAAAACCTGAGTGCTGCTCAGGACTGTTCCAAGTTGGTGGCGATCTGAGCGCAGAAGAGCCCTGGAGGCCGGACTCCTCCGTGGCACGTGGGACTTCTCTCTGCAACTGGGTGCCCCCCCCCCCAGCCGGGCTGTCAGGAGAGGGTTAACTGGCTGCCTCTCTTCCCCAGGTTTGTTTACTGTTTCAAGCAAGACAGTTTCTAGGAAGGCACTTGCGAAACGTTCTTGCCAGGGTGATTTATAAGTAGCAAGGCCTGGTTATCCACCTGAATATCCGAATATAGAAACACAGCTGAGTACATTAGGTATCACCAACAGGACAGGTTTTAAAGTTATTTAAAAATGAGTAAGATCATATGGCAACATGAAAACATGTCAGTAACAGCGTCAAGGGAAAAGACAACATAAACCAGCACGCACACCAGCCACACAAATGCAAAACCACGTATACACGTGATACGGGGCGGGGTTATGAGTAATTAAGGTGGGTTTCAGTCAGGGTCACTGATCCGTCCGCTGTCGACTGGGGACGCGGCGCAGAGCAGCGAAGGGCGGGTGGCCAGCACCGAGCGCCCCGGCAGGCCAGGCCTGGGGCCCAGCACTCCCCCAGCCCCCCAGCCTTCCTACCTTGAATAAATCGTAGAGTTCCTCTAGGTCTTCTGGAAGAACTGACACCTCTGGGATGACAACACGGAGCTGGAGAGAACAAGCCGCAGGGGGTGAATTCTCCGCCCGCCGTGCCAGGATCAGAGGGCCCGGGGCGCTTCCTGCTGGTGTGGGGCCCGGCCGCCAGCTTCCCTCCTGGGGTGGGGGGCTCCTAGCGCCCGGAGCAGAGTCTGTTCCTGGCACAAAGATCGCCTTCTGGCAGCTTTCTCAGGTGTGCATCCTCAGCCTTTCTGATGCACACATCCTGACTCAGGACTAACGTCTGACTCCCAATGGAAGCAGACGCAGGCACAGCGAGAGCTCGGGCAGGGACTTCCTCCTGGAGAACCATCCCCCCGTCCGGTGGGGATGGCGATCCTCACTGTACAACTGGGGAGACCCAGGTCCAGAGGCTCACCATCTGACTGAAACTAAACCCATGCTCTTTCTACAGCAGGTCACATCATCAAGTCGTCAATGCGATGCAAAAAAAAAAAAAAAAAAAAAAGCTGGCGCTCTCCTGTCAGGAGACCAGCAGGGGGCCCAGCCCAGGTCAGCACCTCACTGCCAAGGGCAGCGGTTCGGAGGCGGCCTCTACTCACCACATTCTGCTTCGTGGTCTCTTCGTGGCCCTGGAGAACCCTGATCCGATGTCTGCAGCGCATGTGCTCGATCTGAGCCACAGACTGGTCTCCGAACTTCTGCAGGGACGGAAGGGATCTGTCACTCACAGAGCCCCTTTTTGCATCCAGACACAGGAAAACACGGAGGAGCCTGGGGACCCCTCCCTGGAAGTCCATCTCCCGAGATGCTTCAGGAGCAGGGCAGGGAGCAGGGATGGGGCCCGGGTACCTCGTAGGAGTCGCGGATCAGGTCGGCGATGTCAGTCACAGGACAGGGCTCCTGGTCGTCGGAGAAAAAGGCATGGTGGCTGCTGACTGGAGGTCCAGGGCTGTCCTCATTCTTAATGTGATCCAGAAACCTGGGCACACCCGCCAGAAGAGCAGAGGGTTACCTCCTTGGGCCCAACACAGCAATGCCACCTGCTCGGGGGCCCCTGGACACGTGGCACCCCCTTCAAACCAGCCCGTCTGGCCCCAAACACTGGGCAGAGGGCCAGGCTGCAACCACGATGCTCATTTTAGAGAAAAGGAGAGACATCTGTCCAGCCAGACTTGGCAATCTGGGCACCATGGGGAGGTGTCCAAGGCTCTGTGACTCTCCAGGGACATAAATACAAAGTTCTGAGCACACTGCACTTTTAAGCTTCCACCATATTCTGAAGAGGAACTTGTCATCTGTCATCCAACTTGCCCTCAGCTCCAAGAGACCCAGGCTCCAGTCCTCAGCCTAGGGGGACCTGCTTTCACTGCAACACACCAGCCCTACACACAGAACATCTGAAACTTCCAGCTGGCTGCCTGAGGCCACCACTGCCCGGCACCCACCTGCCCGTCCCCATTCAAGGCCACAATGAGTCCATATTGATTCAAGACACTTGAATCTGCTCAGAGGGAGACACTGATGCCCATGCCTTCCTGTCCCCCTCTCCCCTGGCCGAGAAGAGCCAGGGAAGACGGCACCCCTCACCACACATGAGCAACAGGGGGACCAAAGGGTGACAGCAGCAGAGCAGAAGGAAACTCCCACCAGGACAGCCCCGCTGCCTCGTCCTGCCATCTGTCCGCCCGAGCTCGGCTGCGGCCCCTTCACCCACCTGCTGAGGACCATCAAGGCCTGGCCGTCGTCCCTGCTGCCGCACAGGCCCTGGGCGTTGGCCTCCAGCACGGCCAGCCCCAGCTGGAAGATGGCCTTAATGCCGTCGTAGAAGAAGCAGTCGACCACATTCACCGCACTCTCCAGGGGCATGATGCTGAGGAACAGGGTCAGGAACCAGGACAGGGAGATGGACGCCAGGGCCGAGAGGTCCTTCATGTGCTCCGCCAGCTCGGGGAGCTGCTCCCTGATCAGCTCCTCGAAGACAGACTGGTCCACCTGGGCCCCTGGGGAAGGGAGGCCATGGAGACGTGCTGGGGAGGGGGCGGCTCACACTCTCTCAAGTCTGAGGTTAGCGGGACACCGCAACGGAATTTGACTCACACTCAGTTCATTGATTTCTGAGGTTCTGGCCAAGGTAATTTGGTGGGGGAAGAATAACATTTGCAAAAAATGGTGCTGAATCGAGTGGATATCATATGGTGGAAAGAAAAAGAACCTTGACTCCTACCTCACACCGTACAGAAAAATACATTTGCAATGTGCCCTGGACTTAACTACAAAAGCTAACACAGAGGGAGGGTATAGCTCAGTGGTAGAACACGTGTTTAGCATGCAGGACATCCTGGGTTCAATCCCCAGTACCTCCACTGAAATAAAAAATAAATAAAAGCTAATGCTATAAAACATCTAAAAGACAATATAGGAAAAAAGGCAAAATTTCTTAGGACACAAAAAGCATTAGCCATAGAAAAGACTAATTGGACTAAACCGAAGTTAAAGATGTGTCATTCAAAAGACCCCATTAACAAAATGAAAACACAAACTCAAGAGAAAATATTTGCCGTACGTTCACCTGACGAAGGTTTTGTAATCAAAACAAAGAACTGATGCAAATTAGTAATAAGAGGTCAATAACCAAATTTTTTTAAAAAATAGGCAGATCTGAATAGACACTTCACAAGTCATGATAAACAAGTGGCCAGTAAACATGGAAAAATACGTTCAACATCCTTAACAACCATCAGAGAAATACAAATTAAAACCATCGTGACATACCATCTCTTCCCCACTAGAATGGCTAAAATTAAACAGACAGACAATTCCAAGTGTGTCCAGGGATGTGGAGCAACTGGAACTCCCGTTCACTGCTGGTGTGAGATTCCATGATTACATTCCCGTCCACTTTGGAAAACTGACCGTTTCTTATAAAGTTAAACACATACCTAACTTTGACGCAGCAATTCTACTCCTGGGTAAATACTACAAAAACTGACAACGTATATTCCAAAAAGACTTACATATGAATGTTCACTGCAACTTCACTTAGAAGAATAAGAAATTGGAAACAACTCAAATGTCTATCAACAGGGGACTAGATGAATGAATCATGGTATGAACAGTGAAATACTACTCAGCCATTAAAAAGGGACAAATGAGTGATACACCAACAACATGGTGTGAAGCAAAGAAAGCCAGGCCAAATTCATCTGTGGTGACAGAAGTCAGTACTAAGTGTTGTGTGTGGCAGGGAAGAGGCAGAAGGGACCTTTGTCATTTATGGTTATGGTCCAAATGTTCACCCTGTACTGGGGGTGGTGGTCACATTATCATGGAGGGTCTGCTGGTCACTGCTGAGTACCAGCTGTCCCACAGTGACACTCATCACCCAACGATGGCCTGGACAGCATACCTCCCGGTGGCCACGACGTTCTGGTTCCTCCGTGCTGCTCTGTACAACGTTAAATGCCTCCCACAATATGAAGTGAAAAAGGAAGCAAACCAAGTAAGCCCCTAGGCACACGAAAGGGGCCAGGGAAGACAGAGGCCACCAAAAGGCCACCTCCTTCCCAGCCAGTGCCCTCCCCACCCCCTCACTCCCAGTGGGCATCACACCCCCTCGCTTCTTACATCTCAGCCTTCAAGCAGCTCCTCCCGCCTTGCCCCTACATTCAGTCCTCTGCCAAATTCGGTCTCAAATTGGTTCTTTTGTTTCTGTTCCCACTACTTCCAGCCTAATTTTCAGCCACCTCCATCTGTCATTCTGGATTGCTAAACAGTGTCCCTAAGAGTATTACCAGGCCAAAGCAATTTTTGTGTCATTTTCTCCACGAGGAGGTTGCTGGACCACAGAGATGGTGCAAATTCAAATCTCAGCCCCACGAAGGACAGCGGCCCTGAGCGCTGGAGCACTGAGGGTCACACACAGGTCTGCCCAGAGCCCGGGCCGCCCCCACCAACCCGAGTGAGCGAGCGGTTTTCCATGCCTGCCCCTTACGTGGGGCCTCGAGAGCCTCCAGCACGGCTCTCGCCCAGCCTCTCCTGTCTGCCCGAATCCCTGGGTGCCACGAGCAAGAGCCCCTCCCTTTCCAGGCCTCAGCATCAGTGAGAAACCTGTTTGGTTTTCACTTTTCGACTCGCTTTGTGAGCCTAGGAATTTTTCTTTCCTCCTTTAAGTTCAGCTCTCCACGTAAAATCATTTGTTTGTTCTTTAGCCGAAATCTCTAAGTGTTCACGGCAAGAGAGCAGTCAGGTTACCACACTCCACCTCCTACCGCAACTGCACAGAGAATCACACCAGCTAGTTTTACAAATTCAAGAGCCAGCAGTATTCATGCAGAGACTAGCTGAGAGGGCACAGGGGACTTCGTAACCAGGACTGGTGATAAATGTCTTTGCCTCGGCCCGTCACCACCCCCCAGGGCCCGAGCGGGCGGAAGGAGGCAGTTACCGATGACCCGGTGGTTGAAGTAGTCGGGCAGCATCCGCTCACACACGGCAACCAGCAACCAGAAGGCCTCCTCCTCCTTGGCGTACAGCAGCAGCACGGAGGTCAGGATGTTCATGGACTGCGAGGGGTCACAGGGCGGGGATGGCCACTGACCAGACCGCGTGTGCAGTGCCACGGAGACATTAAAGAACACGCAAGCCCGAGTGACCCCCAAAAGTCCCAACTGCGCAGAGGAGCGATCCGACCACACCCTGAGCTGCGGTGACCAAGGTACCCACGTGGTCCTCGCCAGACACCCACAGCTGAGCCATCTGCCACCGCTCTGTCCCTGTCCCCATGGAGCAACGCTGGGCTGAGCTGCAGAGCAAACGCAGGCTCAAATCCGACCCAGCGATCTCTATTTCCATGTTCAGACACACACACACACACAGCTTCATGCACCCACTGACTTTGCTCATTCACAGGAAGCAAAGCTTAATATCTTACGGCTTTTAATGTCAGGAGCTTCTCTGGCCCAGTTTCGTGCTGGGGACTGATTCTGTGCCTGGTCCCTGAGCAGCCCGAGCAGCCCTCCTCAGTGACTCAGGGACCCTGGGGGGAGGCCTTTCCTCCACTCGTGTTTCCTGAAGGGCAGTGATCCGCCCCGGGCACCCTTCTCCTCCCCCAACAGCACTGCCATTTTTAAAATGATCCCTATGACTTGGGTGCAGTCTGGAGGGAGAAAGCGCCATGGCAGCTTTATCTAAAGATGCACTGCAGTGGAGGCCGGGAGGCTGTGAAGGCTGAACGGCCTCCTGCGGACAGAGGCCTGACCTGGGCTCCAGGCGCCGTGGCTCCTCCCACCCCGTCAGCCTGTCTGACTACACGAGGCTCATCTCCATCACCGACTATCCCCCGTACCGACAGCCGGGAACTCAGCCCCCAGAGTCGGCGTGGTCAGCCTGGGACAGCGGCCGGGACAGGAGCCGTGGCCTCCACTCTGCAGTGCCCGGCTCACCTGGCAGTACCCGATCTTGGGGTTCCGGTGGGCGTAGGCCGTCAGGACTCTCCTCAAAGCAGCGATTCCTGTCTCGTTCTGGAAGGCGGGGTGCTCCGGCAAGGAGCGGTGCAGGTCGCGCTCGATCTCCTCTGTCACCAGGCAGCACCTTCCCATGGACTCCTCCACCAGGTTACCATAGTAACCGGGATGCGCAGCCAGGTCGGTGACGGCATCTGACGATTAAAAGTAACGCTTCAAGGGGGACTGATCACCCAGAGAGTGACAACATGGGGCGGGGCCTGTCCTGTTACAGGACCCCAGTGAGGTCTTGTTACTTGAGGGACATAAAATACTGAGACCACACACAGCCAAAAGGAACTTCATTTCTGCTAAAAACAAACCAAAAAGATACAGAACATGGCTTTTCTAGGACCAACCTACAGGGAAGGGAAAGGGTTCATACTGGAAATGGCTTTATTAATATGCTGTTAATAAGTCATATTCCCTAGTGACAGAAGTACCCGCGTGTGTGTACATACACACACATGTACACACGTTTCCATCTGTATACTGACATGCATACTCACGCACACAATTTTCATGCATTTCTTAAACAAGAAACTGGAGCACTCTGTGTGGAGCACAAGAGAAGGCACAGTCATGATTAAGTGATGCTGGCAGTTACCAAGGAGCCAACAAGCTGCCAGCAGGAAACCCTGAAGGCTGGGTTCCTCGTGTGCGGGAAGCCGAGCTCAGCCAACCCCCCGGACCGCCATGGGGCACCTGTGGTCCAGCCACTGTCCCCTCCTGGGGCTGGGCAGGTGGGGCTCCAGATCAATGCGGGCCCCACGCAGGGAGGTCCTGGCAGAGCAGAGGGGAGCGGGAGAGGCCCAGCTGCATCTCTGCCCACCTGGCTGGGCGCTCCATTCTGATCGGGTTTCGTGTAACACCCACCCCCACTCTCCTGTGACTGATTCCCATCATCCCCGATACGCATCATGGTGGCATCCACGTGTCACAGGCAGCACCCACACCGACGGCTGTC